GCTGCTGCGGATGGAGTCGCCGCCGGCCCGTGGCACGCAGAAGGGCGACGTTTACAGCTTCGGCATCATCCTGCAAGAGATCGCCCTGCGCAACGGCGTCTTCTACATGGAGGGGCTGGACCTGAGCCCTAAAGGTGAGCAGGGGGGGCCGGGGTGATGGTGCCAGGGACCCGCTGATGGGTGGTTGGACAAGCAGATGGGTGCTTGGACCTGGTGTGATGGGTGCTTGGACCAGCTGATGGGTTCTTGGACCTCCTGATGGGTGCTTGGACCAGCTGATGGGTTGTTGGCCTCGCTGATGGGTGCCTGGACCTGCTGTGATGGGTGCTTGGCCTTGCTGATGAGTGCTTGGACCTGCTGATGGGTGCTTGGACCAGCTGATGGGTTCTTGGACCTCCTGATGGGTTCTTGGACCTGCTGATGGGTTCTTGGACCTCCTGATGGGTTCTTGGACCTGCTGATGGGTTCTTGGACCTCCTGATGGGTTATTGGACCAGCTGATGGGTTGTTGGCCTCGCTGATGGGTGCCTGGACCTGCTGTGATGGGTGCTTGGCCTTGCTGATGAGTGCTTGGACCTGCTGATGGATGCTTAGACCAGCTGATGGGTGCTTGGACCAGCTGATGGGTGCTTGGCCCCGCAGAGATCATCGAGCGGGTGAAGAGTGGGGAGCGCCCCAGCTTCCGCCCCTCGGCCAATGTGGGATGCCACATGGAGGAGCTGGGCCAGCTGATGCAGCACTGCTGGGCCGAGGACGTCCTGGAGCGCCCCGACTTCAACCAGATCAAGGTCCAACTCCGCAAGTTCAACAGGTACCTCCACCTCCCCCAGCCCCGTGGGTGATGGGTGACCTCGAAAAGGGTCCCCGGGTGGATGCTCACCCCCTGCCCGCAGGGAGAGCAGCAGCAACATCCTGGACAACCTGCTGTCGCGCATGGAGCAGTACGCCAACAACCTGGAGGAGCTGGTGGAGGAGCGAACCCAAGCCTACCTGGAGGAGAAGCGCAAGGCTGAGGCTCTTCTCTACCAGATCCTGCCCCAGTGAGCACCAGGGGGGCCCCGGCCCTCTGTGCACCCCACCCCCACTGCCGGGCACCCCGGGGCACCACACCGGCATCCCCTGCCTGCCCTGGGCGGGGGTCCCCTATGGATGCCCTGCATGGCTGGGGGTGCTTGGAGGGGCTGGGGACACCAAGGACCCCCACATGGCTTGGGGCTGGAGGTGTTTGGAGGGGCTGGGGACCCCCTGGGGACCCCAAGGACCCCCACATGGCTTGGGGCCAGGGGTGCTTGGAAGAACTGAGGACCCCCCCCAGACTGCTGCATGGCTTAAGGTACCTGAAGGGGCCAGGGACCCCAAGGACCCCCCCGCCATGGTTCAGGGCTGGAGGTGCTTGGAGGGCTGGAGACCCCAAGGACCCCTTGCTGGTTGGAAGAACTGAGGACCCCCCCCAGACTGCTGCATGGCTTAAGGTACCTGAAGGGGCCAGGGACCCCAAGGACCCCCCCGCCATGGTTCAGGGCTGGAGGTGCTTGGAGGGCTGGAGACCCCAAGGACCCCTTGCCATGGCTCTTTGGGGGGGTACCTACCTAAAGGGGCCAGGGACGACCCCAGACCCCCAGCACGGCTTGGGGGTGGGGGTCCTCGGAGGGACCAGGGACAACCCCAGCCCCCCATCATGGCTCAGGGCTGGGAGTCCTCAGAGGGCTGGAGACCCCGAGTACCCCCCGGCACGGCTGGAGCCTGGGGACGCCGTGCCCCCAGGAGGGGCTGGGGGGGG